CTTGCGGGGCCTTCGCCGCACACAAGCTCGTGTCTGTGGGTCCGTGTCGGGGGCTCACCGTCGCGGCTGGGACCTCCCCGGCCCTCCCCACCCTCCCTATTTCTCCTGGTCCCCCATCATTCCATCTGTCAATCTGCCCACCTGCCGCGCCCCCCGGGCTGAGGTAGGAGGTTGTATAGTTGAGGAAGACACCCGAGGAGATCACTATACGGCCTCCTAGCTTTCCCCAGGCTGCGCCCTGCACGGGAAGGGGCCGGCGGGGACCCCAGGTCCATACTACTGCACCACAGTTCTTGGGATGAGCTGGGGTGCCTTTTCTGCCCACACCCTGTGTCTTAGCCGTTTTCTTTGCAGTCTCTCTGCCATTAGGAGATTTCCTCGTTTTCTGTCTCTATTACCCCGCAGTTTCTGGGGTTCTCGAAGCTTCTGTTTCTCTAGAGCTCTGAATCTATCTCTTATCTCTGTGACATTTTGGATCTCTGGGCCACTTGATGTCTCTCCAGGCTTCTCTGTCTTCTTTGCCCGGTTTCTGTCCCCTAGGGCTCAGTGTATCTGCCAGTGTTCCTTTCTCATTTCCCTGCTCCCACCTCTGGGGAAAACGACTTTCCTGGTCCACCATAGCTACAATGCTGGCTTCTAGGTCCCTGAGACCCTTTAACCTGTGAGGACGTCCAGGGTCACAGGTGAGGTTCTTGGGAGCCTGGCGCCTGGCTCAGCTACAAATTTAGGGATTGCAGGTGACCCCTGACAACCTTCCTCTAGATGGAGCCTGACATTTGACCACCAGCTGAAAGATAATCTCTGATCTTAGGCTACAGCTCCCCCTCCCCCACGGTGACCTCACAAAGGTTACTAGCTACTCCTCAGACACAGAGACCCTCTGTGATGGCCCCTGTTGCCCTAGTGGGGAGCATCGCCCTGTTGTTCCCGCTGATCTTCAGGGCGTCCACGTGGGCATGTCTCTTCTGCTTCACCACCCATGAGGAACGCCTTCGTCTCTGCCAGCTGTTTGTGGGCACAGAGGGCCCCAAGCTGGGCCAGTGTAAAAACGCACTCACAGCTGCCTTTGAGGGTCTCTCAGACGTGGAAATCAGTGAGGAGACCCCTGTCCTTGATCCAGGGCACTGGGAGGGGCAGGAGAGACCTTGATCAACTCCACGAAGTAAAGCTGAGTACAGAATTACTTAGGCAGAGACTCAGGAGAGGGACGGTGGAAAGAAACACAGAGAGGGGTGGAGACAGTGCCTGGGGGAGAGGCTAGGGACAGTGAAGTCCTTGACGACTGACTGAGTGAAAGGATCAGTGCTCAGAGGGAGGAGGGCGTGAGTGGGAAGGTCAGATATCTAGAGGTCCAGAGACAGGTACGTAGAGACAGAGAGGGACAGAGTTCTGAAGATAGAAAGAGACCCAGAGTCAGGGAGAAAGGGACTGATGGAGAGAGGGGGCCAGGGACGTAGGGAGAGACAGTGGTCCAGAGAGATAGGACAGCGACCGATGATGTTGGAATAGATTGAGAGGGCATAACAGATCCAGGGTGGTGTGATAGAGACAGAGGTCTAGAGCGAGATGAGGAGAGGAGAGACTAGAGGGAGGGAGGAATAGACACCCAGATTGAGGGTTAGGGTTGGGGAAAGAAATTGAGAATGTGTGTGTGTGTGTGTGTGTGTGTGTGTGTGTGTGTGTGTGTTATCTCTCCAGAGAGGGCACAGAGACCCTGAAGTGGGGTCGGGGGTGGACACTTTCAGCCATGAATCAGACGTAGAACATAACTGGCACCAGATAAGTGCCATGATGCTTCCTCAGCCTGCTTCCTGTCCACCCTCAGACTATGACGAGAGGGGGCACCTTCACGATGCTTTCACACAGATGACCCTCGCCCTCCAGGAGGTGGCTGCAGCTCAGGGTGAGTGTTTCATGGAATTTGGCTTCTGTTTCCCCCACCTTCCACCCTCCCTTGCCCCAGACTATGTGGAGGCATAAGACATTCCTCTGGTTGGAGGGAGTGATGCTGGAAACGTGTGTGAATAAGGTTGGTTGTTGGGGAAGCTTCGGAGGCAAGTGGAGCTGAAGATGGCAAGGAACGGATGGAAGTATAGAAGTCAAAAGGGTTTGAAGCCCTGTGGGGTCAAGTTCATGTGACCCATCTGTGGTTCTCACTGTTTGGGCTCTGAAGTCTGGGTGTGATTTTGCCTCTCACCTAGGCTCCACTTACTCACCTATAAAATAGAACATTCTCTTCTACGGGGAGACGTGCACTTTATCTCCCAATCAGAGCTCACTGGCAGGGGATGATTCTTTTTTATGGAGGTCATAATCCCTTAGGACAAGACACATACACATATATTTCTCATGGCTAACAAAGGTAGGAGCCGTGGAGCTAGCCATTCAAGGGATAGACATGGAGAGTCAGTGCCAGACTCCTTGCTTGGGACATTAGGGGAGAACATGCCCCTGTAGATGTATGGAGCAAACCTTAAGGCTCTGGGGACATGTAAACACATGATTAGCAGTAGTCACACCTGGTCACCCCAACCACGGAACACACAATCTCTTACGTAGCAGTATGTGTATGGCAGTGTGAGAAGTCATTTTTGTTTGTTTAAGGATAACTTGGCCATTCCCAGGATCTGGGAGCTCATGGCCTTTTTTTTTTTTCCTTTTCTTTTTCAATGGTTCATTTTGTTCACTAAGTTTGATATCAGAACCCTCCCAAACAAAGGGTCCATTCATTGAGGGGGCGTCCATGACCATCGTGGAAGAGAATTTTCTGTGTGTCCCCATTCCCAAAAAAAACTTGAGGAACCTGAGAGATGGAAGGAATGCAGGAGACTGGGGAATGCCTTCTGTTCCTGTTTGGGCTTGTCTCCTTTTTGGAAACTTATAAAAAGGTACCAAATGCAGACCTGGGAGTAGGGCAGAGGCTTGGGGGTAGATGGAAGCTGGACTTAGAGAGGAGGCAGGCAGCCTGTGACATGGATCTGAGAACACAGTGAAGAGGAGGGACGAGAAAGTGGGCCTGGATCTGGTGGTCTGTTACAGGGAAAGGAAAGAGTTGCCTTCACTTGGGGTCTGGCTTCTTAGGAGTGACATTTGTTAAGACAGGGAGCAGGGAGGAAAGAGCTGGACTGGGTACAGATGATTAGGGTAGTTACACAATAACCATGAAGGAATATTCGTGGTGACATCCACAAGGCATCTCAACACCGGAATGTTGGGAATCAGTAAAGGTAATTTATGACGATGTCCTAAGGCACCTGGAAAAACCGCAGTGATATAAGTAAGGTGGAGGAGCTTCTGCTATCGGTTTAGACAGACATTCTGGGACACCACAGAGGGAGAGATTGGAGACTGAGAGGAACTGGCACAGTAAGTTCTTCAGAGGGAGGCCTATGGAATATTCCAGAATCACCTGTGGGGTCAGAGCTGGGACCAAAGCTGCTAATGCCCTGCCCTTGAGATGCTTGTATTCAATAGTGTATTAAACAATAAACAGGTTCTGTGAGGTTGAAGGTGTGGCTCGGGGTAGAGAACCTGTGAAGAATCTACCAGTGAGGTTCTAAGGTTATGGCTTCGTAATAAAACTCTCACTTAGAATCCAGCAGTAAAAGGCTGGGGCTATTTCTAAGCTATAGAGTATTTGCTTATAGGAATAGTCTCAGGCCCTGTCTTTTATGCTAATTATTCTCCTAAGGGATTTTTAGTTACCAGTCCGGTGAGGTAGGAAAGTTAGGGCTGAGCTGTGCTTGAAGACATGTAGTCAGAATTTAGGATAATTGTGCATTGGATGAGCCAGGCTAGTGCCTTCTGTTGGGGGTCACACAGGTGATAATGTCTCTGTATACACACCGTAAGTTTACGGTGTGAGTATACACTGAATATCCTTTGTGCAGCATCTGAAATCTGGACTGTTTCTAAGCTAGATGTGGTTTATCATTCCAATGTCACGGCAGGGAGCATGTAGCTCAATTGATAGAGTACGTGAAGTAATGGATTTTACCCTTAGCCCCTAGTCGCACACATCTGTGATTTCAGTACTCAGTGGAGACAAGAGGATCATCCTTGGTTACATTATGCGTTTGAAGCCGGCCCAGGCTACAAGAGACCTGTGTTAAAGGAAAATAAAGTATCCAGGTGTGGTGATGGCTCACACAATGCAGGTATTTTGGGAGGCTGAGGCAGTAGGATCAAAGGAGCCTAGGTTACATAGACTGTCTCAAATACCAGACAAAACAGTGACATACATGTGTTCTTACTCTATGTGCATGTGTGTGTATGAAATGTTCCAAAACACAAAACCCTTTTGAGCGTTATCTTTGCTCCGCATAGCATCATGTGACAGGCCACAGGTAAAACTCAGGCCCATGCTGGGTGGTGGTGGTGCACGCCTTTAATCCCTGCACTCAAGAGGCAGAGGCAGGCAGATCTCTGAGTTCGTGGCCAACCTGGTCTACAAGAGCTAGTTCCAGGACAGGCTCCTGAAGCTACAGAGAAACCCTGTCTAAAAAACAAACAAACAAAAACCAACTCAGGCCGACTCAAAATATTGTGATAACTCAAACTTCAGACATGAAACAAGTGAATTTCCATTTTTACTTTATTTATTTATGTGTCTGAGTATTTGCCTACATGCATGTCTGTGCACCAGATTCATGCCTTGTGCCTGAGGAGACCAGAAAAGGTTGTCAGATCCCCTGGAGTTGTAGTGACAGGTGATTGTGAGCCACCATGTGGGATCTGGCTGGAAATTGAACCCAAGGCCTCTGCCAAAATGGCAGGTTGTCTTAACTGCTTAGGCATTTCTCCAGCCTCTGCTCCTTTCCTTTCCTTTCCTTTCCTTTCCTTTCCTTTCCTTTCCTTTCCTTTCCTTTCCTTTCCTTTCCTTTCCTTTCCTTTCCTTTCCTTCCCTTCCCTTCCCTTCCCTTCCCTTCCCTTCCCTTCCCTTCCCTTCCCTTCCCTTCCCTTCCCTTTTTCCTTTTCCTTTTCCTTTTCCTTTGCCCTTCCCTTCCCCTTCCTTCCTTCCTTCCTTCCTTCCTTCCTTCCTTCCTTCCTTCCTTCCTTCCTTTCTTTCTTTCTTCCTTTCTTCCTTTCTTCCTTTCTATTTTTATTCATTGAAGACAGGGTTTCACTGTGTAACATCCCTGATTGCCCTGGAACTCTGTAGACACAGCTGACCTCCAACTCACAGATCCGCCTGCCTCTGCTGGAATTAAAAAGGCATGCGCCACCACTGCCTGGCTCCTGGTTTTTTGTTTTGATTTCCTGTTTTTGTTTTGTTTTTTGGTTTTTCAAGACAGGGTTTGTCTGTGTAGCTTTGGAGCCTGTCTTGGCAGTCACTCTGTATGTAGACCAGGCTGGCTTCACATAGAGCCATCTGTCTGCCTTTCAAGTGCTGGGAACAAAGATGTGCGCCACCACTGCTCTACCTGGCTCCTGTTTTAATGTTTTTTAAGCATGTGTATACGTCCATGAGTTTTCTGGAGACGTCTCTGGTCTCCGTGAGAACCTATCCTAACAAACGCCAATAGCTGAGAATGAAAAAGATTCCATTTCCCATAGCACTCAATCCTGCCCACGCAGGTCTTTGTAGTAGACACTGCCACCATTGCTGTTTTATGCATGGGGAAACTGAGGACCAGAGAGTTGTCACCTGACCAACCTCACATACGTACGGAGGCAGCTCTGGGATTCATGGATAAATAGAGCTCTGTGTGAAACAGATGTCCTCATAGCTCTAGGTGCCAGGACTCACCCCCAGTGTCCGAGCTCCTAACACATGCCCCCTCACTGATTGCAGCACTCTTTGTACCATCAGGGTTCAGTTGGCATAATCCATGTTCCACTTACCCTGTTAGCATGTTTCCCCTTACTCCTGACCCTGTGTGTACTAGATACTTAAACCTGTCCCACCCCTGCCCACCTCACAGGTCTCCGTGGTACACCTGCTATATCCCACCCACTCATACCCTCCTGGGAGTCATTGATTTGGCTCCTAGATGTAGCTTGTGTGAGGCCTTCAGGATTTTGGCCTTCCATTGAGGGCTCCACTCTGACCTCCTTACGGCACTAGGTCATACTCCAGCTCTTTATGGTTAAGAGAATGACCGCAAAACCAGCTTCTTGGCTTTGGTGTTTCTCTGTAGACAACATATACCATTCTTTAGTTAATGCCTTCAGTTCGTTGACAGTTTCATACACACATGAGGTAACCATCCTCATTGCTGTGACAGATTACAAGACAATAACCTTAATGGAGAAAAGGTTTATCCTAGCTCACTGAGAGTATAGTCCAGTGGTTCTCAACCTGTGGGTCATGACTTCTTTGGAACTTTCCCAAGGGTCGCCTAAGTCCACTGGAAAACACAGATGTTTACATTATATTTCATAGCAGTAGCAAATGTTACAGTTGTGAAGTAGCAACAGAAATAATTTTATGGTTGGGGTCACCACAGCAGGAGGAACTGTATTAAAGGGTCACAGCATTAGGAAGGCTTGGAACCACTGCTATATTGTGGCAGGAAGTCAAAGCAGGAGCGGGAGATCACATTGCATACACAGCCTCGAAGCAGGGAAAAACGAATGCTGGTGTTCAATTTGTTCGTTTTGATTCACTCTAGGACCCCAGTCCATGGTATGGTACAAAGCACATACAGGGTAGGTCTTCCCACCCCTCGACAGGCCCAGAGGTTTATTTCCATGGTGATTCTAAATCCTAGGAATCTGACAATAAATATGAACTATCATACTAGTCTAAGGTGTACCCAAATGATGTCGTTTTAACACCTCTAAGAATGTTGGCTCCAAGTACTGTGGCGTTCTTCCATACTGCACTGGGGATTAGGGTTGCACATATGAATGGGGTGGGGATGGACACTGTCCCAACCATTTCCACCAGAAGGACCCTTTGCCTTGTTGGTCTCTGGTGAGCTCCATCTCATGATCTGGAGGGTACTGTGGTGGTGAGAATTAAGGACTCAGAACATAACAGTATAGAAGGGAGAACTGAATAGTGGTTGGCCGGGGGTGGGGGATGACGACGACTGGGAAATGTTCTGTTTAAAGACAGTGGTGGTCACTGAACTGCTAATTGCTGCCTTATGGCACTATGGTCTTTGTTATATAGCTTTGGATATTTTTTTTAAAGATGCCAAGCATTTTTGTGACATCAGTTTTGTGTGTTGGCAATCCATTTATTTTTTTAAGATTTATTTTTAATCATATGGATGGGGGGAGCAGGGCACTGGTGCAGAGGGCATTGGTTCAGGAGTCTTCGAAGTCCTGGAGAGGGCATCAGATGCCCTGAAGTTAGAGTTACAAATGGTTGTGAAACTTGTAACATGGGTGCTTGGAAATAGAACTGGGTCTTCTGCAAGACATTGTCGTAACTGCAGAACTATCTCTTCAGCCGCCTTCCCATTGTTTTGCAAAGAGATATCAATATTTTTGCTATGTTGAAGCAGGGTTTCTCCTTGTGGCCTTGGCTGTCCTCAAACTCACTTTGTAGACCAAGCTGGCTTTGAACTCATAGAAATCCTCCTATTTTTGCTTCCCAATTGCTGGGATTAAAAGCACCCAACACCACCTACCGACCAAGATAAGAAACTTTTATATAACTGTCCCAAAGTTGTATATTGGCAAATAGTTCATAAATAAAAAGGAAACAAGCTGGCGGTCGTGGTGCACACCTTTAATCCCAACACTTGGGAGGCAGAGGCTGCTGGATCTCAAAGTTCAAGGCCCACCTGGTCTACAGAGGGAGTTCCTGGATAGCCAGGGCTAGAAAGACAAACCCTATCTTTAAAAATAAAACAAAATAAAAAATAAAAACAGAAAGAAAGAAAAAAATAGGGAACAAAGAAGAGAAAAAGAAACACTTTACTGCCTGGTGTTTATCATATCCAGGTGATACATTTGGGTCTAAGGCTACAGCTGGTGACCTACTGTCCTGCTGGACTCTCAAATTCACTAGACATACTTAATGGGTTGTTTTGTAAGACTCGGGACCCTTTTGTGAGGATGCTGTATTCAAAAAGTGGAAGCTTGGGGAACATTGAGAAAAGAGTGGAAAGGTTAAGAGTCAGAGATTTGAGAGGACTAGACAAAGCAAGCAGTTTGTGGACCAATGTACTCCTGAGTTCACAGCAGCTGTAGTTGCCTGACCAAGATCAAGTCCGTCGACATTCCAGTGCTGTGGGGAGGGGCTCACAAGACTCCACCCCAAATGGAGGCAAATGGATCAGGAGAGCCAGTTGTCTTCAAAGGTGCATGCAGTCCCTGATAGGTTGATAGGTTCACTGAAGGTAGGTGCACCACTGAATGGTCAGCACAGATTGAACTGAGCGGGTTATTACAGTTACGGGGGGAAAAAAATAAATGAAGAGGGTTAGGACAAGTAGGAAGTATAGGGTCTGGAAGAAGATAGGGGAGGGAATGAATATAATTGAAATACATTGCATGCATAATATGAAATTTTCAAAGAACAAAAAACATTCATTAAAAGCATACAAAAAAAGGAATGCCTTTAATCCCAACACTGGAAAGTTAGAAGGAGGCAGAGCTCTGAGTTCAAGGCCTACCTGGACTTCATAGTGAGCCACCGTCTTAAAACAAAATACCAAGAAGATGGACTTATGCCGTTATCCTATCTCAGCATCTAATTTGCATATGTGTAATTGCAATCTGGTGAAGTCTATGTAAACTGAAAGAGGCACAATGAGATAAAAGTGGGGAGCTTTAGATTTGGGGTAATCAGAACCCTTGCGGTGACACTTGAGAGGGTAAGATATACAGAGTGGTGGAAAGCTGGGCAAAAGACATTTATAAGCAAGGTAAGGGTGACCTGGAAACTGAAAGTCAGCAAGAGGGCTGCTGCAGAGAAAGGCAACAACCAGCATTGTAGGGCCTAGTAAGCCCTGCAGAAGAGTTAATCATTGTCCTTCCCTTCCCACTAAGATATAAATGAATAGTGCTGTCGTGAGGCAGAAAGAGCGTCCTGAAGAAGTTTGCCAGCTTTCCCTTTGGACCTATGGAAGCTAGAAACACAGCATGTACCTATGGGAGAGACAGCGAGTCCTGACTCTTCGGCCATAGGGAAAGGGCTTTTAGTACAACCACCCTGCTTCATCCTCCAGGGTCCTTTAAGGCTGCCTTCCCTATTGCTGCAGCAAAAATGAAGAAGACCATTCAACAGCTTAAAAAAGGTAAACCAGCCTCCAGCCCCGCCCCCTGCAAACACAATGTGCCACACACAGACATTTGTACACTTGGAATCCTGCCTAAACCCTGGGACCAGTGGATTTCCTAGCCCAGGACGGATCATGTGACAATCCATCTGCTTTTAGCCCTGTGTTCAAAGGCATCCTCTTTAGTTGGTGTTTCTCTATCTGGGCCTACTAATTAGGTGCTGATTCTCCCACTTCCAAGGGTAATTAATACTTCGAGGTTGATTCCTCCTCAAGGCTCCTGTGCGCCCCCCCCCCCCATTTCACTTTTCCTAGTTAGTTGTAGGCTTTCAACTTGACACACTTGGCCTTGCTGCATCCTCTGGATGAAGTGCTGCAAACCCGGCCCTGCCCTTTAGGAACAATACGCTCTGTTCTGCCCTCCAAATGCTGCTTTAGGAGCCTAGGCTTGTTCTCCAGAGAAGAGGACTGCAAGTCCTGACTATTCCGCCTTAGGGTCATAGGCCTGAGGGAAATACCTTCAGGAGGGGCTCTAGGTAGGTCTCTCTGTCAACTATCTAGGTCCTAATGCCTCCTCCTTTCTCTCCACAGTCCAGGATTGCATCCCTCCTTGTGGTAAGGATTTAGTCCCATACTTAAAAAAAAGTAGGGGAAGCTGGGGCGGAAACGTGGAACCTAAGATGAAGACCATGAGTGGACCATAGATCCAAAGGAAGTCAATAGGAAAGTGCATAAACTAGGTATTCTGCCAAAACTTCCTAGCAAGAGTTTGGTGAAGGCCTGCCATCCTAGCTACTCCCAGAAGCTATGGCAGGAAGATCACACATCCAAGGCCACTATGGCTACATAAAGTTCTAGATCACGTCGGGCAACCTAGGGTGACCGTGTCTCAAAACAAAATCTAAAAAGAATTCTGAAGATAAAGCTCAGCACCGGAACACTTGTCTAGAATCTCCCAGTCAGGGGATGAGGGCATACCTCGGTGGAAGGGAGTTTGACTAGCGTGCATAAACCCGTAGGTTCCACTCCCAGTGACTACAACACACAAACAAAACATAAGTGTAATGTAGAAAACTGGCTTAACAAACCAGGAGGTGACCTGGGGGCCAACTAAGCAGGGTTATCCAAATAGTGCAGAAAATGTGGGGTCTTCTTTCACCTCGCCAGTAGAACCCTGGGAGTTCCCATAGATTCAACAAGGTCCGGAGAATTGATCTGGAGACACTCCTGGTCTCGGCTCACAGGCGTCCAGGAGGTCAGTAGGCGTTTCTACTGCTGGGGCTGCTTTTCCACAGTCTGCGACCTCCCTCTAGACTGTCCAGGTGAGGCGGCCGCGAAGGCGAGCCAGGGAAGGGGCGGGGCTTGTGCAGGCCTGCCAGAACGGCCTTTCCTCTCTCCAGTTCAGGACTTGACGGTGAAGCGAGGGGATCAGGCTTTGTTTTCTTGTGTCGTGGGCTTCCAGTTGCCTGAATCGGAGCTCACTTACTTATGGAAATTCGCGGGAGGAGGTGTGAGTCGGAACAGGGCCTGCTGGAGGGCTTAAGGGATCGGTTCTGCTTCGGGGAATGGAGGAGGCTAAGTTCAGGGTTTGGGGCCATAGGGTTGGGTTTAATGCGAGAGGGTAGTCGGAGACGTAGGGAAAGACTGAGGTTAAATATATGGAAGACCAGTGCTTGGATGTGCATTATGAGTCAGACTTTAAGAATGCTGGGAAGGGTTACTCAGGGCAGCGAGACGAGTCAGAGGCTTGCGAGCTGAGTCAGGGCTTGGGGAGGGGGTGTGCACTGGGCGGGGATTGCCCGTTCCGGCTGAGTCCGGGTGCTTTTGAGCTCCTCAGACCCGCCATCTCGCAGCTCCGGACTCAGGACGTGTCCTACTTCCGTGATGTGCCAGGGGCCCACGGGTACCTGGCGCGGATCCGGCCAGTGCAACCCACCCACCGCGGGACCTTCTCCTGCGTGATCCTGCACGACCAACGCCCCCTGGCGCGGCTCTACTTCTATCTGAACGGTGCGGGCGGGGCAAGGATGTGAGGAGAGGTGGGGCCGAGGGCGGGGTTCCGCCCTCTAACGCGCGCGCTCTGGCAGTGACCGGCCCTCCTCCGCCTGGGGAGACTGAGCTCCAGGTCACGTTCCGGGAAGTGACACATTGGACGCCGCGGGAGGCGGAAATGATCGAGCCCTGGAGGCCCAGCCTAAGCGAACTGCTTGCCAGGCCCCAGGCTCTGACGCTTGGCAACCTGTTCCTGCTCGCGGCTATTGCTGCACTCGTGTCTGCTAGCGTCACTGTGCTAGTGTGGTGAGTGCCGGCTTCCACCCTCGCCTCCCGCTGCTCCCCTTGTCCACGCCGCAGGCCTCCGACCCAGGAGTTCAGACTCCGTCCATCCTCCGAGTCCAGACCCCAGCCTCCTCCCTGAGCCCCAAAACCAGGTCTTCTCAGACTAAAGTTATATAGGCTCTAGACTACCTTCCTTAGACTCAGGGTTCTAGCCTCCAATTCTCCTTCAAACCTAGGAGACCTAACCCTTTTTTTCTCAGAGCCAGAAGTCCAGGTCCTAGCCCTCCTTGCCCAGGCTGAGAAATCCAGATTCTATCCTTATAGCTCATAAACTTACATAGTCTCGACACCAGGGCTCCTTGTAGACTCAGGTCTAGGCTCTCCTTGCACTTTGAAATCCTAATGTGTTTCTGTCACTGGGCCCTCCTTCAACGCACATACTCGTTTATTTTCCCAGGGTGTTTTTTCGATGGTACGTAAGTGGCAGCTAAGGAGGGTATCTGCCCTGATTTGACATTCTTCCCTGAAATAAAGAATGTATTTCAGTTCTGGATTCTCATTTGTTTTCTGTTTTTTGTTGTTGGTTTTGAGGGGTGGCTTGTTTGTTTGTGACGAGATCACTGCTCACCTTGGGGAGGACAAAGTACCCCCCAATGCTTCGGTGTATAGACCCATGGTGACAGGACTTGGGCTATCAGTTTCGGAGGCTCTTTGTTGAGGTCTCTGAGCACCAGTTCAGACCCTTCTGTACTCTAGCAGATTCCTTGACATTTTTACCTATAGAAAATACCCTTAGAGTACTATATGGTATCCCCCCCCCCAGGCTTTCTCCCTTCCAGAAGTAGCACCTATAGCCTTCTAGCAGTTCAGTGCAAAAACCACTGGGCTACACCCTTAACCCCTTACTAGAAGATTCTAGACTGAAGCTCTACTACTGAGCCATACCTCAGCCAGTCACTGGAATATTTTAGATAGGGTGCTACCACTAAGTCACCCCCCCCCCCAGCCCCTGTCGTTCTAGCACTGGACCACACCTCCAGCCCTTACTTTGGATTCTAGACAGGTCAGCTACATGCCAAGGCTGGTTTCTTTCTATGTGTGAGCATGGTGGGGCACATTTGTGTACATGTACGTGCATGTGGAGGCCAGAGGTCAACCTCAAGTGTCATTCCTCAGGCACGAACCACTGTGTTTTGGTGACAGGGTTTCTCAATGGTTAAGACTTGCCTGATCAGGATAGCTGACCAGCAGGCCCCAAGGGTCAACATGTCACCACCGCACCAGCCCTAGAATTACAACTGCAGGCTTTTTACATCCGGGTTCTCAGGATGGACTCAGATCCCTACTAGTTTCCAGTCTAGTTAAGTGTGTCACAGTGGGTTACTTCTCTGCCCTAAACTCATCAATGGCTTTCTGTTGTCAGTGAAATCAAATCTAATTCCTTGTTAAACTTCCAAAGGTCCCCACATTCTGGCCCTTGTTGGTCTTCCTAATTGTGTCTCCCATGCAAGGAAGAGAGCTTTCATCCTACCCTGCAGTTCTCTTTTCTCCCTATGGTGTCCATGATGATTCTCGGCCTCCCCAGGATTTCTATTTACAGTAATGTGTTTTTTCCTTCCTTTTCTCCTCATAACCTCCTTTTCTCTCATCTCTTGCTGCTGCCCCCTGCTCATGTCTACCTTCTCATCAGCTCAGTAAATGCCCGTGACAACCATCCGAAACTTGTTTTATTGTATAGCTTGTATCCCCTCTCATGTCTTCCTTGTTACTTTTCAGCTCGGGTGGCTTCAGCTTTGGTCCCCTGAACTTTGAGAGTTCTGTTCCATGTCTGGACCTTTTCCGCTCTTCCTCCATCTTGAATGACTTCCTGTCCGTTGCACAGGCACCAGCCCACAATTGACTTTCTCTGACTAGTTCCTGTTCCATATGTAGTCTGTGCTATTCTGTGTCTTCCCTCCTCCCACCTCTGCCCCCATGTTCCATGTAGGCATACCAGACAGCTAGTTTTTATTAATTATTTATTTGCATTTTATGCACATTAATGTTTTGCCTGCATACATGTCTTTGTAAGGGTATAGGATCCCCTGGAACAGGAGTTTTAGACAGTTGCTGCCGTATGGGTGCTGGGAATTGAACTCTGGTCCTCAGGAAGAGCAGCCAGTGCTCTATACTGCAGAGCTATCCTACCAGGCCACCTAAAACTCACATAACCTTGAACTTTTTTTAAAAATTTTTTTATGGTTTATTTAGCTTTATTTTATGTGCATTGGTGTGAAGGTGTCAGATCCCCTGGAACTGGATTTTCAGACAGTTGTGAGCTGCCATGTGGGCACTGGGATTTGAACCCGGGTCCTCGGGAAGAGCAGTCAGTGCTCTTAACCGCTGAGTCATCTCTCCAGCCCCAACCTTGAACTTTTGATCCTCCTGCATCCACTTCCCCAGTGCTGGTAAGATTAAGTGTGCACAACTGGTCCCAGTTTTATGCAATGCTGGTGGAAGAATGACATGCTTTGTGCCTGTTAGGTTTGTTCTATGCCAACTAGTTATATACTCCTAGCCCTAAACATGATTACTGATTAAGCACTCTCCTGCACTTTTTTGCTTTCCAATGATGATAGCAAAGGTTGAGTCTTCTCATTTTCTAAACTTAGCTTACCTAGTCTTGCCCTGTCTCACTAGTGTCCTTACTCCCACCAACCCTTCCTTCTGTCATTCATTTTTTTTCAATGTGCTCTGTGTGCATGTGTGTGGGTCCATGGTACATGTAGAGGACTGTGATTGGTATCCGGTGTCTTCCTCAATTGATATCCACTTTTATAATGGGAGACAAAGTCTTTCACTGGATTTGGAGCTTGTGCATTAGGCTAGACAGGCCTGCCAGTACATCTCAGGCATATTGTTGGCTCTGCCTCCCCAGAGCTGGGATTACATGTGCCAGTATTCCTAGTTGGTGGGGTTTCTGTGCTCAGGTCCTCCTGTTTGCACGCTAAGCACTGAGTGAGTCATTTCCCAAACCCCTGTATTGCTTACGTCCTGAACAGTAAACAAGAAATTAAAACACATAATATTTGTGAGGGAAAAATAAGGGAGAGTTTTGGAATATTGTGTGAGGAACAGTGGCAGTTGGCTCTGAAGACAGTCTGACTGGGAAGCTGACATTTGAGGAAGGAATGGAAAGTGCGAGCTGTGTACATGTTTGAGAGCCCTGGTGCAGCAGTTGCAGGTATGCAGGAGGGACTGAAGCAAGGTGTTATGGGATGAACACACTGTGAACTCAGCGAGGAAGGAAAGGGCAAGACAGGTCAGGTTGTGCAGAGTATTTCCCATTGCAAGGTTTCAATTTTTCTCTGCCTTAAGTCACTAACAGTTTCTGAATGTATTAGTGAATTGTCTATTGCTATGAGAAAGTGCGAACAAAAGCAAGAGTTCATTTTAGCTTATGGTTCCAGAGGGATAGGCCATGAGGACAAGGGATATAGGGCAGCAAGCAGCTGAGAGAACACATCTCAAAATGCACAGAGGAAGCCAAGGGAGCCACATGGAAGAGCGGTGAGGCTGTAAGTTCAGGAAGGCCATCCATAGCGACATGCATCATTCAGCAAGACTCTACGCCCTAATTTCATTTTCTCCCCCAAACAGCACAACAGGAGAATAAGGGAACCAGCATGTGTGAACAAATGGGGGACATTTCTCATTTGGATCACCACACTGAGCCATGGAAGGGCATACACTGCACAGGTACTATATCAGTTACTTCCCTATTTCTGTAACCACAGTACCCAATAGAAACAAGAAAGGGATGCTTTATTTTGGTCCATGGTTTTGAATATCTTAGGTTTTGGCAGGGTTGAGGAGCTCCATACAAGGCAGTAGGAGTGTGTGACTACAGGTTTGTAGCCTGCCAGCAAGTGAAGAGTTAAAGGATTCAGAGGCCTGGCTAATAAACCTTCAGAGCCTGTCACCAGTGACCGATTCTGGTGGGCCTCACACCTTAGAAAAGGCTCCATAGTCTTTCCAGATGTTGAGATCTACTGGGAAACAAACAAGCCTGTGTATTTCAAATTCAAGTCTCGGAGGTGGCACTTTGAGATGCTGCAGAAATTAAGTAAAAACCAAAGTTCTGGGTCAAAGGGGAGTAATGTAAGAGTTAAGTTTCTTTTTCTGTGATAAAATACCGTGACCAAAAGCAACCTAAGGGAGAAGGCTATTTTAGCTTATAGTTTCAGACTTACTGACAGGTCCGTTACGGTGGGGAAAGTTCAGCAGTGGGCAGAGAAAGGCATGAAGACAGGAACATGAAGCTGGCTGGTCATAGTTTCATCCACACATAGGCAGTGAAAAGAAAATAAAAGGTAGAGTGAGGCTAGAACCACTCAAAGCCTTACCCTAGAGATAGACTTCCTCCAGCAAGGTTCCACCTGAAGATTCCTAACCTCCCCAGACAGCACCAACTGGGGATTACATGTTCACATACATGGGAGCATATCTCACGTAAACCATAGCTCCATTCTACCCAGAAGGTGAACTCAACAGCATCTGCAGGCAGATGTGAATGCAGGGTCTATGAGACAAGAAGACATTAAGGAAAGGACAGCAGCGATCTCTGTAATGGACCTGGCCTAATTCTGCTCTGTCCAGAGATGAAGCACCAGCTTCCTACACTCTGTTCTTGAAAGGAGTAAGTCTTGGTGAATGCCTTGACTGCTAGAGGTAGCTAGAATTAGTGCAGTCCTTGCTCCAGGCCAACAGAAGTCACAGAGGCACATGACTGGCATTTTTTTTTTTTGTCTGCATGTATATGCTTACAGTAGTGTGTGCCTGTGTGGGGAAGTCGGAGGTTGATGCTGGACATCTTCAATCACTCTCAACCCTGCTAATATTTTTGAGGCAGAGTTTCTGACTGAACATGGAGCTCAGCCACATAACCAGACTTCCTGGCCTCCAGGTATCCCCACCTATCTCTACCACCCCAGACCTGGAATTGCTGACATGCACAACTGCACCTGAGTTTCTGTGTAGGTTATAGGGCAAGGACTGAGGTCTCTATGCAACAAGCACTTTACCAGCCAAGACACCCTCCTCAACTTACCATTTTTTCTTGACAGAGTCTCAATTTATAGCCAAAGCTGTCCTGAGACTCAGGACTTTCTTTCTTTTGCCTCCCAAATGCTGGGAGAATCTGTTTGACACCACACTCATTATCTAGATAGTCTTAACTTTTTTGTTTGTTTGTTTGGAGACAGGATCCCCCTGTCTAAGCTAGACTGGCCTGGATCTTGGGGTCTTATCTCTGTTTCACAAGTGCTTCAATTATAAGTGTATACCACCATGCCTAACTCTTCTAGGTAGTCTTTTTAAATTTTTGTTTGTTTGTTTTTTAAGACAGGGTTTCTTTTTAGCTGTGAGGCCTGTCCCAGAACTTGTGCTGTAGACCAGGCTGGCCTTGAGCTCACAGAGGTCCTCTTGCCTCTGCCTCCTGAGTGCTGGGAATAAAGGTGTGCCCATCTTGATCAACGTGTTGGCTAGGTGCCCCATGTGAGCATATCTGCATCTCTTTCCTTTTGAATTGGTAGTTTACATGGTAAATGGGGTTGTGACTGAATCAGTGATCGAGGGAAAAGCTGTAGTGGTTACTCTGATCAACATGGCTTTTGAATCTGTGGCCCAGGGAACTGAGATGATGCCTTTGTGTTTGCTGAGACAGGGAGATGGATTAAAAGGAGGAAAGTTTGGAATTGGGGGTAAGAAGTGGGCTAACTATTAAGTGAAAACATCTTGCAGGCTATTTGGTATACTAGTCTGGGATTTAAACAATATTTAGGAATTCTGCCTCTGGGTGGAGAGTGTAATTAGGGCACTTCGAGCCACAGTGCTGAGTTTAGTGGGGCCATGTGTAGACACAGATGAGAAAACATGGTTCTCTAATGGCTACATGAAAAGGAACCCAAAGCAAAGTTTCGAAACATTTGCTTGTTTATATTGAGTGAGAGTATGAGTATTTTTTGGAGGGAGGGAGGTACTGTGTGTGTCTCAGAAGTCCTCTGCCACTCTCCATCTATTCCTTTGAGACCGAGTTTCTCCCTGAATCTGGAGCTTGTGTTTCCTTGGCTAGACTGAACAAAGAGAACCTTGAACTCCCGAGCCTACCGCCTCCATGGGCAGGGATTCCAAGTGCTAGGATCATGGGTGTGCACTAACATTCTCATTTTCCCAGTGCTGGGTCAAACTCAGCTTCATGCGTGCTCAGAATGGAAGCACTGTAGCAGGTAAGCAGTGCCCCAGCTTCAGAACCAGGAAAAAATGAACAGCAGACTGAGGGAGGTTGCTGAGGCTCCTGTTTTTTCCTGACAGCCGAGTGAAGAAATGCCAGTCATGCACATGGCTTTAATCCCAGCACTTAGGAAGCTAAGGTAGAGGCAGCTGGATCTCTGAGCTCAAAGCCAGTGAGTGGTCTACACAGTGAGTTCCAGGCCAGCCAGAGTTTCATAGACAGAAACAAAAGAAAACAAAGAAACCAAAAAGAACAAACAAACAAACAAATCAATATACTTCCTCACAAGGCACAGAGGGACGAGAAACAGACAGACTGATGGCAGAAGCTGCTGCCTCACTGGGAAGCTCATGGTTTTGGCAATGGAGGTATCATTAATGAGGTAAATTGAATAGTTTTGTAGAATGGGGAAGAGGTGAAGAAGGAGTGCCTGCCGGTCATGTGATTAGCTTGGGGTTTTTTTTTTAACAATGGGAGTCCACATTAGCCTTTGGGAAAATGGAAATCAAAACCACAAAGAGAAACCAAACCACAGCCACAGAGATAGCTTGTAATTAGTGTTACATAATAAGTTTGGCAAGGGGGTGGGGAGATCAAAAGCCTCACCACATTTACTAGCAATGAGGTAAAATGGAGTAGTCTTTGTGGAAAAGTCTGCCATTCCCTCCTAGAATTTGGGTCTGGAAAACAGTCTTGGTGAGCAAAAGACTTGCACTGAGTCATGAGGACCCCAGTTGGATCCACAGAACCCATGTAAAATGGCGGCGTAAGATACTGAGCCTCTGTAATCCCTGCTCTTCTATACAAGATGAGAGATGGAGCCAGGAGAATCCCAGAAAGTTTGTGTGCCACCCAGGCTGGGAGATGCAGTGGAAAATTAGAGACCCTACCTCAAAGAAGATGGAAAGCAAGGACTGGATGCACAGGTGACATGCCCTTTGACAGCCGCCTGTTGTACACAGTCACACATGAGCGCACACACAAAGATAACATAAAATTAAAAGAAATGGCTGATGCTGCAGGTGCGGCTGAGTAAATGGAGTAACCGCCTAGTATGTTCAAAGCCCCTGCTCCCATCCTCAGGACTCTGTGAGCACAACGTGCTGGTTTGTGTCTATCAATCCAGAACCCGGGAGATGAAGGCTGGAGGAGCTGAAGCTCAGGGTCATCCTCGCCAAGTTTGAAACTAACCTTTGTTCTATGAGAGCCTGTCTCAAAATAAGTGAAAAATAATTATTTTAAAATATCAATAAATGATTTATTATTTAATAATAATTTATTCATATATTTAAAAATAATAGTTAAAAAGAACTATAAGACCTCATAGTTATTTCCCTAAGTATATACTTAAGAATTAGAATCATAGGTCCACACAAAAACCTGCTGAAGAACATCATAGTCCCAAGTTGGAGACAACTAAATATCTGTCTGCTGATAATAGGGTGGATAAAAATTGTTTGTGTCCTGTCGTGGTATTCTGCTTAACAATAAAAAGAAATGAATCAGAGATTCAATGGCTTGAGTGAGCTTTGAAAGTCTTAAGCTAAATCAACCATAAAAGGTCACAGACTGCCAGCTTCCATTTATAGGACTCTCTAGAGCAGGTAACTTCACATTTAGAAGATGAGTGACTGCCTTGAGTGTGTGTGTGTGTGAGTGTGTGTGAGTGTGTGTGTGTGTGTGTGAGGGGCAGTGGGATGAGGGGTGGCCGTCAGTGAGTATGGAGTCCCCCGGGGAGAGATGGAGATTACGGCTATGGCTGCACGATGACCAAGTAACTAAACTCGGAGTTTTTTCATGGAGTGTTGCTTTCCACAGAAAAGGAAGTGGCTTGGTAGTCTAGGAAGAAATTGCAGTTGAGAGAGTCTTAGGAGGTTTGTGAGACAAGATTTCATGTAGCATTTGAAGGGTGGCATTGAAGTCCCGGTGTAGCAGAGCGTGGTGTTTAGTTTTGATTGTCCACTTGACATATAGAATCACCTGGATTAGAGGGGCCTTTTGATATGACTGTGGGTGACTTTAAACGGGTTAACTGAGGTGGGATGACTCTCTCCAAATGCAGGCAGCATCCTTGTATGAGCTGGGTCCTGGACTGGTTGAAAAGGAGATAGTGAGCAAAAAAAGCATGTGTGCATTAATCCATTGCTCTTGACTGGTTGTGATGTGAGTAGCTGCTTCAAGCTCCTGCTGCTTTGACTTCCCTGTAATTATGGACAGTGGCTTGGAATTAGCCCAATAAACCCTTTCTTCCTTGACGCTTTTACCAGGGTATTTTCTCACAGCCACAGGGAACAGAACTAATCGTGAATGACCATGAACTTCTGACGTGATATGGATTACAGGTGTGCCTCACATCATTTGTCTATTACTTGTATTTTCTTTCATTTTTATTTAAGATGGATGGGGGCTTTGCCTGCATGTGTGCGTGTGCACTACACTCACGGAGGCCAGAAAAAGCTGTCAGATCCCCTGGAATTGAAGTTACAGAGGTTGTGAGCCACCATGTGGGTGCAGGAAATTGAACTCAGGTCCTTTGGAAGACCTGCGGAGCCATCTCCCCAGCTCCAATACCTGAATTGTATGACATCAGAATCTAGGTTCTCAGGAAGGAGAGTACCCTGTAGAAGTTCAAACATCCATCAACCCTTATTGGGCCCCGCTAATTCCCAATGACAAGAAAAATGGGAAGAGGTGCTTGGAAGAAAATAAATAAAAAATTTATTATATCTTAATCACAGTACAAACACATTAAATACAAACAGAAAGAATGCAGGGACCTTCTGGTCCTGGTCCTACAAACCCACACCCTAATCAATAAATTACCCCTTCCCCCGAGACCCAGAAGTCTTGAGGTCCAATACAGTTCATTGAATGTATTCCAAGAATGCATTCCAAGAATCTTGGATGACACTCTCACTTCAAGAAGGGAAACTGAGGCCAGGGAGTCCCCATGGACTTCATGGCTCCTGCAGCTACCCTGCAGGACTCCTCTTGCCTCCCCCACAGTCCTCTGTGAGCATGTCCATGTGCAGATTCACACCTGAACATGGTAGCCACCGCTGCGACGCCTGCAGAGCCTCCGCACAACCACCCAATAGAGAGTCAGCATTACCACCCAGTAGGCCACATAGGCACCTGCTCCAGCAGCGAGGTGGTAGGCCTCGGCTGCCCGGGATGGGCCACTCCAGTCGGCCTGAGCTTCCTGGGCCACACTGCGGATCAGACCTCCAAGCAGTAACAGAGCCCAGAGTGCTAGGGGTAGCACGGGGACATAGTTAGCAGCCAGCTTCTTCCTGCCTGAGGTGCCCCAGCCACTCTGATTCATGGTGACCAATGCCAGGAACTTGGCGGGCAGCAGGCCACACATGTAGAGTGGTGCATAGAGCGACAGCAGCACCATACGCAGGCAGCCTCGCAGCCAGGCTGCAAAGGCCGCCTTAGCCAGCGCCACGCCCTGTACGCACAACAGCACCCAGAGCAGGGCCCATGGACGCCCAGCATAGAAGAGCCGCAGCACTGTGGCCGCCACGAAGAAAGGGAAGAGGCCGGAGACCACTGCTTCATAGGTCATCCACGCATGGTGGCGGTGCCACCATAAGGCGTTGTATAGCCACTCGCGGAAATAAGACTTGGACCAGCGGGTCTGTTGACTTAGCCAGCGCAGGAAGGAGGAGGGCGTCTCTGAGTAGCATCTGGAGCGCGAAGTGTACCTGACAGGTGCAGAGAAACAAGGGCGGGCATCAGTGTTGTTCTCCCGGGGGCCCGGGCAGGACTTTTAAACTTAAAGATCATTTCATATGTATGAATGGTTTGCTTGCATGTACTTATGCGTGCTACATGTGTTCCTCGTGCCTGAGGGGGTTAGAAGAGGGCATCACAGCCGTTGGAACTGGAGCTACAGATGCTTGTGATCTGCCATGTGGGTGCTGGGAATCGAACCCAGGTCCTAAGCAAGAGCAGCCAATGCTCTTAATTTACTCCCAGTCCAGGGAGAAGAATTTTGAAGTGCCCACTTTCAATGCTATTGGGGCAAGTTTTTGTTTTGTTTTGTCTTTTTGTAGTATTTTTTTTTTTTTTTGTCATTGTGTCAAAACAGCTGACAACAGGTAAGGACGGAAGAATTTTATTATGGCTCATAGTTCAAAAATAAAGTCTGGCCTGGAAGGGAAAGCATGGAAGCAGGAATATGAAGCATCTGATCACATTGCATCCATGGACAGAAAGCAGAGGACGGAATGATGGTGTGTGTACACACGCATGTGTGTGCATGTGTGGTGTGTGCATGGTGTGTGTGTGCATGGTGTGTGTGTACGCATGCGTGTGGTGTGTGTATGTGTGCCTAAGTATGGACGCACAAAGAGGCCTGACGAGTGTCTCAGGTCCCCTGGAGATGGAGTTATAGGCACTGTTAGCCACCAGTTGTGGGTGCTGAAATGGAAGGGGTCCTCTTAACCAATAAACCATCTCTCCAGCTTCCTCAGCATCCTTTCTGTGGGCCTGTATCACTGTTTAATATTTTCAACAGCCGGGGACTACATGGAGGTCGTATGCCAAGCAGTTTCTAGTAATTGCTCAATCAGTGTGAGCTACTGCTGTTTTCACTGTGACTAACACTGTTACTACAGACATGACGAATATTAGTCAGTGACACTAACACCATCAGTGACATGACTAAGTGCTGACTAAATTGGCAAGTCCTGCCATGAGGAGTAGGGCAAGACTGGCCACTACCCAGGTTAGCGTCTGCATGAGAAGTTCTCAAAAGAGCAGATGGACCCCTTCCTGTGGCTGAGGCAGAAACCATTAATCTGTCCTTACATGCCTTCGTCATACCCATGCAGGGTAGATAGAATCCCAACTAAGGAAAAGCCACAGGTGGCCATTAGCAGTTAGCTTATTAGGTGACGGCAAACTAGCCTCTCAGCCAAGGGCAGTACTTGGCAGTCTCTCATCACTGTGTCATTTGGCACCCTCAATGTTCTGCTTGCTTCTGCAGTTGCTGTTTGTACCCAAAACATCTGCCTAGAGGATGCTTTCACATGCGGGTCTTCTGCTCAAAGCCCTCCATGATTCATATTAGTGAAGGTCCTACGAGCCTTTCATGAGGGGACCCCTGATAGCTCTCTGTCCTCTCTCCTGGTGCTCTTGACTAAAATGAGATTATTATTCCAAATCTGTTTCCTCCAGCTTGACACATTTCCTCTTGGAGGGAGGAGGGAAGACTTAAAAAGTTAATGGAAATTCAAGAAATTAACAAGAGCCAGGAGGCTTAAAATGTAACTAGATTAAGGAGAGCTCTCCTAAAGGCGGTGAACAACTGTGTGTGTGTGGGGGGGGGGGGCACTCCAGTGGAGCTGCTGCAAGGTGTGCAGGGAGCTCTACGGATGCAGCTATTGAGAGCTGTCAAAGCTGCCTCAAAATCATTCATGCATACGTACACCAAACTACTGGTATCAAGTCAGACGTGGGTAGATGCAGTGATATGCAACTAAAGCCTTTATGTCTGGCTTTAAGTGAAACGTATAGTAAAGCCTTTGTGTCTGGCTTTGAGAGAAATGTTTCAGCAAAGCCTTTCTACATTTGGGCTGATTAGTAGATGCTGTGAAATTATTTTGAGACTGTTTCAGCCTTGAAAAAGAATGCTCCAAGGGGGCTGAAGACATGGCTCAGTGGTTAAAAGCACTGGTTGCTTTTCCAGAGGTCCTGAGTTCAATTCCCAGCAACCACATGGTGGTTCACAACCATCTGTAATGAGATCTGGCGCCTTCTTCTGGCATGCGGGCATACATTATTTTGTATACATAATAAATAAATAAATAAATAAATCTTTTAAAAAAAAGAAAAATGTTTCTCTGGAGAAACTGCACTTGGTGCTAAGTGAGAGCTGGCAGCTACACCAACCCTGGCCCTAAGACACTCCTAAAGACTGGGGGTCAGTCTTTTCCAAGAAGGCTAAGCCCTTCTTCTGCTCCTTCAGAAGCTTCTTCAAAAAATGAAGGCTTAGCATCTTAGTGAGTTTCTCTCTCTACTTTGGCACATACGACTGACATCAAACAATAGGGCGAATTGATTTTTCTTTCTTTTTTTAATTTATTTATTTTTGGTCTGTCATGTGTGCCCTGTCTGGGGTGAATGGACGTTTGCTTACGTCTACACTAGTTAGTTTTAACAGTCAACTTGCCACAAGCTAGCACCAGCTGAGAAGAAAGCCTCCACTGAGGAACTGGCTAGGTCAGGTTGGCCTGTGGGCATGTCTGTTGGAACTGTCTTGATTGTTCACAGAGGTGGAAAGACTCCCCCTGAATTTGGGTAGCACCATTTCACAGGGGAGGTACTGAATATTATAAGTGTAGAGAAGCAAAAGGCGGCAGCCTGCTAGGGTCCATTCATTTCTCTCTGCTTTTGATGGTGGATGCCATACACCTGGGTGCTTGAGTTCCTGCCTTGACTGTCTGTCAGTGATGAACTGTGATCTGGAATTGTAAGCCAAATCAACAATCTCTCCCTTAAGTTGCTTTTGGTCAGGGATACTTGTTGCAGAAACAAAAATTAAAATAGAGCACCATTTCTTCCCCAGGTAAAGTCACACAATATACTCTATAGGTTGCCACACTTGGTAGATATATAGTCTCCTCAGCATAAGGAAGAATTTTTGCCCCCTTTGCCTACTGCTGTGCCTATAGGGCATCCAAACTCCTGTACAGTGGTTATGGAGATCAGACACTCTCCTCCTCACTTTCCTCTTTTCTTGCTGCTTCTCCCACTGGTGTTAACCCACCCCATCTACTCATCTCATCCTTCTCCCTCCCTTCTGCATGGCGCAGGCTGGCTCGGTCTCCATGGGATAGCCCACTTACCCCATCTGCCTTGTTCCTTCTATGTGAAAATGCTCACCCTCACCTTGTCTTGTTTGGTGGAGGCGAAAAGGGTTCACAAAACCCTTTACAGCCTTTACAGTACCTCCAATTCTCTTCTAATATCCACTGGCTAAATACGCATGGCTCCTCTACCTCTTATGATATTGTCCTCTGCCTCTTGGACCCTCTGTCTCTCTTCCTCAGGGACACTCTTCACACACATGACCACATGGTCCCCTCTACTTACTTGGTAGCGTAACCCATGCTGAGCATGCGGTTGGTGAGGTGCCTGTCATCCCCGAAAGTGCAGTGGGTGCCCAGGAACTTCTGGTTGTACCAGGCTTCCAGGAACTGCTGCAGGAGATTGTTCCTGTACAGGCCTAGATAGGATGGGGAGTACCAAGCATCAGCCTCTGATGTGGTTAATGTTGTGCTCAGTGCATCTCTGTTTCCCACTCCATGCTTCCTCATCTCCATCCCAGTCTCAGCCTTGTCCCTCATCACCCTCCAATACAGCACCAGTCTTATCTGAAGCCCCTGCCCTTTCCAATGTGCCTGTCACATGACCATGCACTGTAAAGTCACCGCTCCTCCCACAATGCCCCAGCATTCTCAATACCTTCCCTGTTCAACATCATCTCCAACCCAACCTCATCTCCCTTCCACAAGCCCTTTTGCAGCAACTTGCCCAATCTGCATCCTTCCCTTTTTCCCAGCTTCATTTCTCTCCTGCAAACCAGTACAGCTCTAACACCATCTCTTCCTCCTCCCCAATCTTATGTTGACTCCAATCCCGACCCCAGCCCTATCTCTGTCCACAACTTTACCCTGCCTCTGGTTCCCTTTCTCCCCTCCTTACGCACCCACAAGCCTTCCAAGCCCCGCTTTCACTCACCCAGAGGACCACTGATGCAGGACACACAGTGGAAGTAGCTCTGACAAGCTCTCTCCACATTGAAGGCTACCCAGTATCGCAGGCTGCTCAAGAAGCTGACCCAGGAATCCAGAGGGTTAAGGATCCGCACATCACCCCCAACAGCCCCTACCCGGGGATCTGCATCCAGCACTCGCACAAGCTCCAGCAGTGCCATGGGGTCTAGCCTTGTGTCTGAGTCACAGACCTGTGAAAAGAATGGGACTAGGGTCAGACCAGAATCCTACACAGGGATGGTCCTAGAAAGGGCTTATAGATTGTTTACACTACTCCCTGGACTGGGATCCTGGATTATATAAAAAGAGGACGTGAGCTTCACACAAGATGTGCAGGTGGTGTGAGCAGCTGCTTCCAGCTCCTGTGCCTTGACTTCCTGTCTGGTGAACTGTGAGCCAAGGGAAGCCATTTTTCCCTTAAGGTGTTTTTGTAAAGGTATTTTCTCAGAGCAACAGGAGAAGAAACTAAGACAGTAGCATGTTAGTGAATGACCACACTGAATGGATGGATGCGTGATGAATTAAAGGTCTGTATTTCATAGCCGAATGGGTGTCAGAAGTCTCCACATTGAAGGAAAGAAAGCAAAAAGGAAAGGGGGGAACAAACCTCTATATAAAAGGGTAAGCGAATGAATAAATAAGTGGGTGAGGTCCACACTGGATGTATTGATGCTGGGTGGAAAGAAGGGTGAAGGAAAGCCTTTCCATATTGCATGAAGAAAGAGAGTAACGTTATAGCAAATGTCTTGATTTGTGGGTGAGTGATTGAGTGAATGAATCTTTGTATTAAATGAATGCGTAGCTGCATGAAAGGATGAATGTATGCTCAGAGTTTCCTTTTGTCTTCAGTGGCTACGTGAATGGAAGAGGGAATGAATTTCTTCATTCAGTGTTGTGGTTTGGATGTGAAATATCCCCCTAGGTTCGTGTTTTTGAAAAACTGGTCTCATACCTGGTAGCACTGTTTTGGAAGGTTGTATGGACTGTTAGGAGGTGGGGACCAGTTAGTGGGTCTCACCTCCTTTTCTTTTTGCTTCTTATCTGCAGGAGCAGTGTGACCAACTTTCTCAAACTCCCAAATCCATGTCTTTCCTATCATGATGGACTGCACGCTCAAACTGTGAGCCAGAATAAACCCTTCTTTCTCTAAGTTGCTTTGGTCTGGTATTTTGTCACAACAACAAGTATACAAATGGGTAGAGTGAATGAGCACTGTATCGGGTGTGTACGCAGATGTGTGTACCATCGAATGAAAGAATCACACCAAAGTAAGAAAAAAAGAAGAACCATTGTATCAAATGGATGGATAAGATTGACTAAATATCCATATTAAATCAGTTCACCAATGGTTGATGAATAAATGAGGGAAATGGATGAATTAGAGTTTATGTCTGAACGTGTGGAGAGTGATGAGATAAGGGGGGATTTGAGCCTGGGGCAATAGCGAGGTGGATAACAGTGCTCGAGAACTCGGACTTAAATCTCAGCAGCCACGTAAAATGATAGGTGTGGTTGCATATGCATGCCTGTAACATAGTTCTCTCTCTCTCTCTCTCTCTCTCTCTCTCTCTCTCTCTCTCTCTCTCTCTCTCTCTCTCTGTGTGTGTGTGTGTGTACAAGAGGAACACTGGTTCTTGTTGATTGCCAACCTACATCTAGGTTCAATGAGAGGTCCTGTCTCAAAGGAATGAGGGAGGAGGGGAGTGAAAGAGCAGGACACCTGATGTCTTCCTCAGGCTTCCACAGTGCACACACACGTGCACACCACACAAACATGCATACATAAATAAGAGAAGACAGGGTTGACTCTACATTGAAGAAATTATCTGCTGGAGGATAGATAAAAGCACGAGTAAGTACTGAAAGATTTCTTCACCGAATGAATAAAAAGAGGAAATGAAGCCGTTCCCTCAAATCCGTTTGATACAGCGTCTCCTGTTTCAGAGTGCAAAGCCTGACTTTGAACTTCTGATCCTCCCGCCTCCACCTCCCAGGGTCTGGGACACACGCACTCTACTCTTTCTGAAGTGTAGGGTGTGAGGTCACATTCACAGGAGGCACGGGATACCTTGCACTCACCTGCACGTAGTCCACGGAGTCTCCCAGCGCCTTGAAGGCCGTGTACATGACCTCGCGCTTGCCACCCCAGCGCTGCGCCACGCACACGCACCTGCGCGTCCTCACCAACGCCTCCACCGCCAGCCGCCCGGGGTCCTCCGCCTCCACTTCGCGGTAGGCACCGGCACCCACTGCACCCGCCCCCTCCGCCGGTTCCCAGGGCTGATGATAGTTGCCGTCCCACACGTAGGTGGCGGGGTCCTCATCGGCGAAGACTTCGCGGAACATGTCCACCATGTACAGATCCTCCTCGCGGTTGCCGTCCACCACCATGAGGACGCGCAGCCGCGCGCGCGGGTACAGCAGAGCCCGCGCCGAGGTCAGGCACTGGCGCAGGTACGCGGGGTCCTCCTGGTAGGCAGAGATGGTGAGCGCCACGCTGCGTGCGGTGGCCTCGTCCGGGAGTCCCTTCGCTGAGGCGCGCCGCGCCGCCGCTGCCACCCTCCGGTGCTCCAGGTAAGCGAAAAGGCTCTGCGCCACCAAATGCGCGCTGAGGAAGGCCCCGTAGAGGCCGAAGGCCAGGAGGCCGTAGTGATCCGAGGCGAGAGGGACGCCGGCGGCGTAGGCCCAGGTCATGAGGCCCAGGATGAGCAGTGCGAATGTAATCGTGAGCACCCGCCGAGCCAGGCCGGAGCAGCGACGTGCTGCCTCTGAGGGCTTCGGCATGTCCTGCGGGGAGCCAAGAAGAAGGATCAGTCTTGAGGGCTTTCTGAAGATGACTTTATTTCTGGGGATCTCTCGTCTAAGCTGAATAAGAACATTCCAGAACTTTCAAATGATCTGTCTTATGTTTTAAAGGTTTGTTTATTTATGCATTTTTATTTTATTCGTGTGGGTGTTTTTTGCCATGTATATGCCGGTGCACCATTGTGCCCGATCCCCATAGAGGCCAGAAGAGGGCCTCGTATGCCCTGGCGTACTAGTGAAGTCTTTTGGCTTCGCAATAGCAAGTGCTATTAACCACGAAGATAGCTATCTCTCTAGCACCCCAGGAGTTCTTAAAAATATTCCCCTGAGCACCACCTTTGAAGCAATTATCTTGGCTTACTACCTGATTTTATTAATTGCTATACCCCGTTTTTTTAGTAGAAAGAGTCTGTGTAGCCCCAGCTGGTCTAGAACGCCCTATTCTTCTGAGTGCTGGTAAGACAGGAGTGAGCCACCAAGCCAGGTTTTTACGCGATGCCCTCTAAAGTAAGCCGTTATGCCTCCCCTCCTCCAGCGTTAGCATCTCTTCTGTACAAAAGGGTTACACAGTGCAACTTCCCAGGCTTACCCTGTGTTTGTTAGTGGCCCATAAAGTGGTGCTGGCTGGTGGGATGGCTCAGTGGGTGAAAAGTGTCTGCCTCCAAGTCTGACAACTGAGTTTGATCCTTGGAACCCTCAGGATGGAAGGAGAGAAGTGAACTTGCTGTGCTGTGACTAAAACACATGCGTATGCGTGCCATCACCCAAAAAGTAATTTTAAAAATTGGGAAAAAAATGAAGTTAAGAATAACCCAACAAAACAAAAATTTCTGTGCCAAGACACTAATACCATGTACTAAGCAGTTTATACCAAATATGTATCAAGTGCTGTTTTAACCCTTTTATATGAACTTGTTTGTTTTAGATACAAGGTCTCCTGTAGCCCAGCCTGTCCTACATATAGCCAAGGATGACTTTGAACTTCTGAACCTACTGCCTCAGCTTCTGGAGTGCTGGGATGACAGGCATGCAGCACCATGCCCAGTTCCTGCAGTAATAGGCAAGTGTACTACCAGCTGAGCTATACTTCCAACCCAGGTAAGTACTCTCTTTTTTTTTAAATTTTTTTATTTAAAAGGATTTTTTCCGTTTATATGCCAACCCACCATTCTCCCTACCTCCTCTCCTCTCACTCCATCCTCATCTCTACCCTCATCCAACCACCCCCCATCCACTCCTCAGAAAGGGTAAGGGAGTCAACAAAGTCTGGCATATCAAGTTGACACAGGACCAAGCCCCTCTCTTCTGTATCAAGTCTGAGTACTGTATCCCTCCATAGGGAATAGGCTTCAAAAAGCCAGTTTATGCACTAGGGACACACTGCCAGAGGTTCCAGTTCCATCCTAAGCAGGTTCCCCAGAGTCAGTGAGCTCCCACTTACTTGGTTCAGCTGTCTCTCTGGATTTTTCCACCATATCTTGACCCGTTTGCTCATGTAATCCCCCCTCCCTCTCTTCTGGACTCTGGGAGCTTGGCCCAGTGCTTAGCTGTGGCTCTTGGCCTCTGCTTCAGTCAGTTACTGAATGAAGGTTCTATGATGACAACCAGGTCAGTTACCAGTCCGATTCAAGTATGTGCTCTTATCATCATTTTCCAGGCAGAGATGCTGAGTCACAGAAATTTAAACTCCCGAGATTATACCTAAGGTTATAGGATTTGAACCCAGGATTGAAGTCATTAATCACAGTCTTCCTAGACCGTTTTCCCCTTCCAGGAGAGCCTCTAATGACAGCATTTGCAGTCATAGTATAGAGAGCAAAACAGGATAGTCAAAAGCTTGTGACTGGTGTGCAGCCGCAGGTGACAAAATGGCACCCCTGACTTCCCCAAATCCTGATGTGTGTCCCTTTCCCGCTGTCCAGTGACTTGACTGGGCCATGTTTATCAGTAGAGGCTGAGAAGGGTCTCTGTCTTCTCATGCATAAGATGGGTAAGTAGTTGCTTCCCCAGCCAGACATTGTTCGACAGCAACCCTCTGCAGTGGGTACTCTTGCTGTGCCCTGTTACCGAGGCCAAAAGAGATAAATTCTCTCACTAAAGATAACTCAGATAGTATGCAGAGGACTCAGGGCTCAAACACAGTCTGGCTGCTGTGCTTCCTCCACCTTAGGCTATCAGTTCCTGCCTGCCACACTGACTGCAGGATAAGGCATCAATGTAAGGTAGGTCACACTGCCCACAGCTGAAGTGCAGCCAGTCTGACCAGGGTGTGAGTTTCTAATCTGGGAAGATTGACTCAGCGTACACAAAAGAGCTGAGTGCCGCCTGTAATCCCATCCCCAGGCAGGCAGACAGGTAGATGCCTGGGGCTTGCTGGCCAGCCATTACAGCTGAAATCTGTAGGTACCATGTTCAGTGGGAAGCCTATCTTTAAGACAAAGAGTATAGAACAGATAGAGGAAGACATTAATGTTGACCTCTGAACTCCACAGGAGTAGGCACAGTTGAACCTATACAACATACACACAGTCATTAAAATGAAAAGCCTGGTGACATAAGCCTGTCATTCTAGCTACCTTTGAGGCTAAATGATATCAGAGGATCTCAAGTGTAAGGCCCGCTGGTTAACTTAGTTTTTAACCCTCTTTCAAAATAAAAATGAAGAGGCCAGCAAGATGTCTTAGTAGGTAAAGGTACTTGCTCCCAAACTTGAGGACCCTAGGTTAATGTCAAAAACTCAACTCTCTCTCTCTCATATATTAAATTATAAATGCGTAATTTAAATAAATAAATTTAAACATATTCCATTTAGTCTCATTCAGTTATTGAAAAACCTTTAATTATGCCTTGAATAAGTATGATGCATGACTCTTCTCTTTTTAACTGTAAATTTTACAAAAAACTAAGCCCAGGTAAACCAATTTTTTTCATACACAATATATTTTGCAGTCTTAGTCTGGGGTAGATTAAAAAAACAAAAGCTTTCACTAATATTTTTATGTTAGTAATATTTTGAAATATTTTGTTTTCTAGACAAGATTACATAAAGCGCAGGCTGGTTTTGACTTCACTGTGTGACTGATAATTTGCTGAATTTCTTCTGACCCTTCTGCCTCGGTCTTCTGAGTGATGGGGTGACAGAGGTAAGCCACCACATTCAGTGTATTTGGTGCTGGAGTTTACTTGGACCTGGAGCTTTGTGTATGCTGAGCAAACACTCTACCAACTTAGCTACATCCTAAGACCCTGAAACAATCATGCTTCCAAAACATTTATTTGTTTGCTTATCTATCTATCTATCTATCTATCTATCTATCTATCTATCTATCATCTCTCTATCTATCATCTGTTCATGTATACATACACATATGCCATGGTGTGTGTCTGGCAGTCAGGGCAATGTTCAGGAGTCAGTTCTCATCTTCCATCACGTAGGGGAACAAACTCAAGTAATCAGGCTTAACTGCAAGCCCCTTTCTCTTTGAGTCCAAAAACAACCCAAACAACCATATTTGTTAAGTATACAATAGTCGTCAAGACACAGATTTCCACTACCACTTACAAACAGATATCTTTTTACATTTTCAAATCATTTTAAGCTGAGAGAGAAACAAAAATGTTTTGTGGAGCGTGAAAGTTCCTAGCAGTTCAAAGGTCAGTGTCCTTAATGCCGCACTGCTCATTCACCCTTGTCTGTCCTGACTCCACAGTAGAATAACCAATCAGGATATACTCTGCTGTTTGGTAGAAAAGTTTACAGTCATCTCAAACACTGAGTTGATGCAAATAAGTTACCAAAATCAATTTCATTTAAAAATTAGTTATTTCTTTGCTTATTTTGTGTGTGGGCATATGTGTGTCACAGGGTGTGTGTGTGTGTGTGTGTGTGTGTAGGTTGGAGGACAGCTTTGGGACTAGGTTCTCTCTTCCTACCCTGTGTCTTGGAGACCAAACTCAGATTGTCAGGCTTAGAAGCAAGCACCTTTCCTTCAAGAGCCATCTTGTAGTCCCCTCTTTACTTTTTCAAGAGGTTTTAAAAATTGTATGTGATAATCCACATTATGTTTCAGACAGTAGAGGTCAGTTAGGTATTTTGGGGATTTTAAAAGAAGATGAAGGGTTTCCCTGTGTTGTTCAGACTGGCCTCAAACCCCTAGACCCAAGAATTTTCCAGTCTCAGCCTCCCAGGTATCTGGAACCTCAAGTATGTGGTATCCAACTTAAGATAACTTTTAAATACTCAATAACAATTATTCTTTCTGTTAGACTCTTTTATTCCTGTCTTTTTGTCTCAAACACAGCTCTGCCTGGGCTCCTGGGGGCGGCTCAGCTCATGAAGAAGTTTTTGATGCCAGCAACACGGACACCTCCACCTACAGCTGTACTCGCAACATTAAGAGCCACACAGAACAAAAGCACCCATGTTCCACAAGACAACCTCATATACCGTGTCAAAGGCTGAGAATGGGGGTCCAGTGATCTCCCACTAATGGTCATGCAAGGGACCTGAGGACACAAGCCCTCAGCATGAGGAAGAAGCAATATCAAGACAATAAACAACATGCCAGTAAACACCAGACAGCCACCAAGGGTCTGGGGTGAAGGAACGGAAATAGGTTTCAGAAGAAATAGTCAATAGTTCAGAACAGTAGTTACCCACAGTTTAATACAGTTCCTCATGCTGTGGTGACCCCCAAGCTTAAAAGTATTTTAGTTATTCTTTCATAACTAACTTTGCTACTATTATAAATTGTAATATAAATATCTGATATACAGGATGTATTTACATTGTTGCAAATTGACCAAAAGGGTTATGACCCACATGTTGAGAATCACTGGTTTAAGTGGATGCAAGCCATATGACATTACTCTTTTTCCAGGTCAAGAGAGGTTGAATGTTGGTGAATGCAGTTAGTTCAGCTAAATAGATTCTGAACTCATTAAATTGAAACCAAAACGCATGCATTACACACATGCAGTCTTCTTTAGGAACACTAGCATGCACTTATAGAATCATAGACATGGATGACAAAGGAAGCTCACTCCACTGCACATGCTCACTGAATTCATATAGTTGCTGTCACAAGTAGATACACACACATACAAACACATTCTCAATAGTCCCCGATACACATGGTCTCACATATGGTAGTAATTATCCTTTATGGCTACAGACACACAGGCGCGCGGCACACACACACACACACACATGTACATACGTGTCTCATGGCTGTGGATACTGATGGATTCTCTCCTCTCCGGCTTGCTCTGCAGTCTGTGTGTGTCTAGAGCTAGCTGGAGGGGGGCCATTTGAAGACCAGCAAATGCGGGGGTGGAGGAGGGTTGACGTCAGCTGACTAGCCTGCCCAGGGGCTCTGAGGTCAGACAGTCCTGTAACTCCACCCTCTTCGATTCCCGACATTGCCCCATCCCCCTCACCAGATAGGACCTGTCTTCACAGCCCCTCAAACTGGCTCTTCACACCCCCTTTTCTTCCAGCCCTTCCACTCTATTTTCTCTTGCTCCACTTTTCCCTTGCATTGAGTTCACTTTACCTTTCATTTGTCCTATCTGTATATCCCTTTCTACCTTCCCCCCTTGTCTGTCTTCCCCATCTCCCTCAGCTGCTTCTCTTGTGTCTTGTCTGTATTTCTGTGTCCATCTCGCCCCATTTGTCTTATCACTTTCTGTCACCCACACTGTCCCCCTGTCTCTCTGCCCTGCCCCCACACCTTCTTCCTCCTCACTTACCCCTCATCTCTCCAGAGCCCACCTTCCTCTCTCTAGACTCTGAACAAATGAGTCCCACAGGAGCACGTATCAGCAACTGGCAGATAGATAAAGTGCACACACACGCATGTCTGTGGGTGTGCCTGTGTTGCTGGCGTGTGTTTCAAAGCAGCCTGGAACTACAGCCAGAATTGCCTGCTCTTTGCTGGGCTGATGTCTGTCTGTCTGTCTGTCTGTGGGGTGTGTGTGTGAACACATATTTGTCCCTGTCAAGGTCTGCTGAGGACTGGAATACTGGGGTCTGTCTTCTGAGGGACTTCAAGTGACTTCTGGGAGTGGTCTGGGCTGAGGTGCTGTGATACACCATCATGGAGACTGGGTCAGAACACAGCTGCGATGAGATGGGGTGCCAGGGTGTATGTACCTCAGCCCGTTGTGGTCAGAAGGCCAGTGATCCCTGTTACTCTTTTATATTCTTTTTATAATTTTTTTTGTTGTTGTTAGCTCTAAGACTATCCTTCTCCAAGTTCCTCTCACTGTGAACTGATAGTGGGTAGTGTGCAGCAACTGTTTCTTTCTGCATCCTTCTGTGTGGTGGATACTAATAATTTCTATTATTTCTCTATGTCTCCCTCACTCCCTTTTGCTCTCTCATTTTGTCTTTACCCCCTGACTCTATTTCTCTACCCATTTGTATTCCCATTTCTTCCTCTCCTTTCCTATCCAAGTCTTCCCCTCTGATGTCTGTTACCATCTCTCATCTGTCTGCCATCTCTCATCTTTTAATAATCTACCTATGTGTATCTATCATCTATGTATTCCTCTATCCCTATATGTCTCTAACTATCATCTGCCTGCCTGTCTCTTTGTGAGACTCTCTCACTCCCCCCCCCCCTCCCGACTTTGATGGCTCTCTGGTTTTCCTTTATCCTGCTGCTTCATGTCTCCTAGTCATTCAGGACTTTCCTGAACAAAGCCAGGTTCTCACACCCAGCTTGTGAGAACTTTGCTAGACAGGGTGTAGGGGCAGTGCCAGGTTGGGCCTTTGCTTGAGCCTGGCCACTAGGGAGAAGCTCCCTGCCGGTGGGAACCTGGGTACCACCCACCCATCAGGGTGGGGCAAGCTGTGTCTGACGCTTTTGCCGGGAGCCTGTGATGCTTAGTGTCTGGCTGTGTCAGGATGATGGAGGCAAGCCCAGAACGGGATAAGAGGAGTTCCTGTGGCTAGGAAGGGATAGCCCAAGCTCCCTCCTCCCAGGAGCTGGGCATTTGACTGCCTAGTCTGAACACCGCCCTAACTGGGTGGAGCAGCTGTATAAAACCAGATGTTTCTAAAACCAGAGTGTGCATGAGAGACAGACCAGGGTTTCAAACCAAGGGGTTTTTCTCAGCCAGAGTACTAGAGATCTGGCCACAGCCACGACTCCCCCCTTCAGACCCAGGTATCCAGGCCTGAGTCTCCTCTGTTAGATCTAGGGTTACAGGACCCTGGCTCTCCTTCCCTGGACTCAGGATTCCAGACCCTAGACTTCTCTTAGACCAGTATTTAATCCTCTGCCTTTAGACTCAGGAGTCTAGACAGCAGCCTTTTTCTCTCAAAAAGGGAGTTTAGGCATAGCCCTCCTCTCTCAGACACAGAGGTCCACTATCCCATAATTCCTTGCAAGCATAGATGATCAGGATTGAATGTAGTAAAGACAAGATGACAAAGACAGAGGAAGCTGAGCACTGTTGCCCAGCTCTCTCCCCTCTCATGGTAGCTTTTAACTGGTGCCTGCCCTGAGTCTACAATGACCTTCCTTCTCCAGAAGGGTTATTTAATTTCATCATGAGAAGACAGGAGAGAAAGGTAAGGGTGGTAGCCACAAATGGAGAAGAAACAGGAAAAACATGTGTTCTTTGTAGGGTCAACTGATGGGTGAGGCCCTGGGCTAAGTGATGCCAGGCACACACAAATGACTCAGCAGGGGGCCCTGCCTCCCTCTGAGGAGTTGCCATTCCTCTAGAGGAGACAGCTGTATAAATAGAGGACTGGGCACTGATGGAGTAACAGTTCCACCCAACTGAAAGGCAGGAAGGGCTTCCTGGAGGAGGTGCTCCTGATCAATGAGGAATTATGGGAGTGGAAAGGGAAGAAGGGAAAAGGCATCCCAGGCAAAGACATGGTGTGGCTAGTTGACAAAGCACTCAGTGAGAGGTGTTGTGGAAGTGCAGAGTAGCTGAGAAGTAATGAGATACATAAAGGTGAGATTACTTTTTAAATTGCTTGGAGAGATGAACAAATGGCTCAGTGGTTAAGAATGCTTTTTTGCAGAAGATTTGGGTTGGGGTCCCAGAACTCATGTTGGGTGGCTTATAACCACCTCTAACTCCAGCTCTAGTGTATTTGATGCCTTCTTCTGGCCTCTGTGGTCACCTATCCACATGCAGCATACACATAAAAATACAATAAATCTTTTAAGAAGAAGGCACGGGCAGCTGCAGAGATGACTCAGTGGTAAGAGTACTTGCTACTCTTGACAAGGACCTGGGTTCAGTTTCCAGCACTCCCATGACTGCTCACAATTGCCTGTGACTCCAGGTCCAGTGGATCTGTGTCCTCTTTTGAACCTTTGTAGGCACTGTAGGTACATGATGCACAGCCATATATGTAAGCCAAACACTTGTACACATAAAATCTTTAAAAATGACTTTTAGATTGAAAGGCAAAATTATATATCCATGATGAGGATGTAGCTCGGTTGGAGAGTGATTGCCTAGCAGGCATTTAGACTGTGGGTTTGATATTTAACACTGGGCATGGTTGTGTACACTTGCAAATTCAGGTGTACTGAAAAGAAATCATGCAGTGCAAGGTTCTTAGTGTGTGTGTAGGACTGGGTACTATGTATAATTTCAAGTATTCGGGAAGGGTCTTGAATATATATATGCTCCTTAGCCCGGCGGTGGTGGCGCACGCCTTTAATCCCAGCACTCGGGAGGTAGAGGCAGGCAGATCTTTGTAAGTTTGAGCCAGCCTGGTCTACGAGAGCTAGTTCCAGGAAAGGCTCCAAAGTTACAGAGAAACCTGTCTTGTGAAACTAGAGAGAGAGAGAGAGAGAGAGAGAGAGAGAGAGAGAGGGGGGGGGAAAATATGCCCCTTAGATAATTGGAGGAGGGGGTTTTATTAGTGTTTTGAGGCATAGTTTCTCATGAATGAAAAATGAAATAAAAAGGCAAGAAACATGATTGCTCCCAGTTAAGATGGAGGAGAATGTTTATTGTGGACAAAGGGGGACAGACATAGGCAGAGGCAGGGGCATCTAGGAGAGCCCAGAGTGGCCATGACCCTGAGCCATGTGAGGAGAGGAAGAGGGGAAGAAAAATGGGGAGAGGGGAGGAAAGTGTAGCAAAAGAGAATAGACGGAAAGACCAGGTAACCAAATGGTTGTATTATATATGGAAGGGCAGCCCAACCTCTGGGCTGGAAAAGTTTAGGGAAGGGGTGTGCCCACCAGGAGGGCCCTGTAACAGATAGGGATTTAGGGAGGCTTGGAGAACCAGGTTCACTTTGATATGGTAAGTAGGCACCTCAGCCTGTTGTCCTGGTTTGAAACCTGACCTCTCTCAGCCCAGGTTGGGCTCTAACCCAGATAACTGAAGATGACACTGAATTCCTGATCCTCAAGCCTCTACTTCTCAAGCGCTAGGATCGCAGGTGTGTGGTAGCATGACTGGTTTATGCAGTTTGGGGGAAAAAATCCAGGACTTTTTGAATGTTAAGCAAACACTGTTACCTGAACTACAGCCCCAGCTTAAAGTAAGAGACATTTGAGTTTCCTGGAGAACTAAGGAGGATAAATGGCCACTGAAAAAGTTAACTTGGAAAAAATCTGCATTTTCTTAAATGCTGCTGTCGATCTAGGTGGTTACTCTGTAAAGTGTTCTGACTTGGAGAGGAAATACTCTGAAAAAATCCAGATACTGAAAAGGAGAGGTGGAGGGAGGTATCTCTCACAGGGTCATGTGCTTGAACACTTAGTAACCAGCTGGTGGTGCTGTGCTAAAGGTTGAGGAGCTGTTATGGAGTGTGTGTTTGTGTGTATGTGCGTGTGTGTGTGTGTGTGTGTGTGTGTGTGTGTGTGTGTAAGAGAGAGGGGGGTTGACTTTCAGCTTTTGAAAAAAGTATTCATTCAAAAGACAAGACAGTGAGCAAAAGTTTATTTTAAAAAGCTGAACAAACAAACTGTAGGGGAAGACTGAACTGGACTGCATGAAGGTGGGTTCAGTGTTGCAGATTTTTAAAGAAATTGTAACGAATATTTATGAGGTGTGTGACATAGTCATAGAATTAAGTAACCCTTTCTTCTCCCCAAATCATGATGGGCTGGGTCTCCTTTTTAAAGTATTTCTTCACCTACCCCTCTAAAACAGTCTACAAAAAACAACAAACATAGACAGTAAAAACAAGAACTAGAGTGATTATATATATATAAATAAACATCGGGTAATTTGGGTGTGTAGACCCTTGGTTACTACACATGCGTTAGAGAATTTCCAAGTGTCTTACTTTCTGATATAACAAGAACAACCTAACTGCTTCCAAGATGTTTAACGGCAAGGAGGTTCTGACCACAGGGAGACACACCTATCAAGATGCAGCTACAGTCTCTCCTCAGATAATCTCTTGTCATCCTTAGTGTAAACTTTACACAGCCTAGAGTTATTTCAAAGGAGAGCCTCTAGATCAGATTGGCCTGTGGCCATGTCTGACAATGTCTTGACTGATGATGTAGGGGGCACCACCCACTATGGGTGCTTTCCCAAGGCAGGTAGCCCTGGGCTGTAGACTACAATTAGTTAAGCATGAGCCTGCAAGTGAGCCAACCAAGGAGTATTCTTTCATGGTTTCTTCCTTATGCTCCTACCTGAGTTCTGTTAATGATCGAGTGTGACCTGAAATTATAAGACAGATAAATCTTTTCCTCTTCCATGTTGATTTTGATCAGTGTTTTATCACAGAAAAGAAGCTAGAGCACCTCATATTGAACTCCTTGTCTACTCAGAATTAGAGTTTGGGGGGGGTCACTGTGTCTAACTGGCAGACACTGGCCACTGGGTAGTATTACTGGTACACCAGTGAAGGGCTTCAGATGTTAGAAGCCAGGTCTCTTTTCCTGATCCCCCAAAATGTGAACAAGCCATGTAATGAGCTCCGGCTGTCACAAGTTAAGTCACTCAACTGTCACACTTTTCTCACCTTTATGGGCCACGGGCCCTGATTCTCTGTTTTCGCTTTTCTCCCACAGCACGGATCAGCTTTCTGTATAATGTATAGACTCGATTGCTCAGCATCTTTTGTGTGTGTGTGTGTGTGTGTGTGTGTGTGTGTGTGTGTGTGTGCGTGTGTGTAATGAGGGCCTTGTTAGAACATAAGCTCTCCATAGACAGAGGTCCTTATCCTTTCTACACATTTCCCTGCCCTTAGAGCTTAGGCCAGTTCCTGCGCTAAGCAGGTGGTAGATCATCAGGTGTTGAATGGTTGTCAGGATGAAAAATCAGAATCGGGGAGAGGGGAAAGAAAAGAGAAAGGCTAAAGTTTGTTCCTCTCTAAACTTCTAACCCTTATGTCCTCTTTCTGTCTCTCTCCCTCTCTCCCTTCCCTTTCTCTCTTTTTCCTCTTTCTTTTATCTCTCTACTCACCGCTCCTTCCTGTTGCCCCCGGCTGACCTTGAACTCACCCTGTAGCCCAGATTGCCACTTCCTGTGTCCTAGGAAGTACTAGATTAAAGAAATAAAGGGTGTGTGGGTTGCCCTAATACCTGCTCTCCCTGACTTTATTTTCTGTGTGTTTGTCTATTGATCTGCCTCTTTCTTTATTCTCATTTTCCTTCTCTCTCT